GTCTGGGGTATAAAATATTTGTTCTATTATGTTTCTGTCTGTCTGTCTGTCTGTCTGTCTGTCTGTCTGTCTGTCTGTCTGTCTGTCTGTCTGTCTGTCTGTCTGTCTGTCTGTATATATTTATACATTTATATATATGTATTTACATGTCTCTAAATTCTTCTCTGAAATCTTTACATAAATAATAATCCCGCCAACTGCTCCACACTCTAATTTGTCTTCTTTTATAGGTACACCTTCACAGGTATCTACACCTTTGAGTCACTTACCAAAATTGTTGCCCGAGGTTTTGCCATCGATGGCTTCACGTTTCTCAGAGACCCATGGAACTGGCTGGACTTCATGGTCATTTCAATGGCGTAAGTATATGTTAACATCATAAATAATAATATTCTAAATACCTGCTAAAAATGTCTATTATATTATTTAGATAAAACACATAAATGGTATAAACAAATACATGAAAATAATATGAATTATCAGTTATCTGCTTCAGGTATAACTTTGCAGCACATTTACAAAATAAAGACATTATTTTATGTTAAAATGTCCTTATTAAAAGTATAACTGGAAGCATGACCAGGCAAATGTCCTCAAGTTTGTTGCTGTTGTAAAGTAGCTTTATAACACTTGCATTTTTATGTCAATGACAAGTCAAAATGGATTACAGAGCAGGCATATTAATAATAATACCTGTAACTTCAGCCCAAAATGAAGTGTCTTGTAAAGAATCAATATCCCTTGGTCTTCTTCTTTAGTTCTATTATGTTCTCTAACAAACAACTACTCTGAGGCTTTCTTAGAACATTTAGATAAAGGCACTCTGACTGACAGACTTCTGAAGGCAATCAGAGGTCTGTCAGTCAGACTGCCTTTATTTTGAAATTGTGAGAACCCTGGATTAATTGTTATTCCAGTCTACAATTATGTGTTACCTTCTGTGGGTCGGTCATTCGAGATGCACCGATCCGATACCTTGATCGGATATCAGCTCAGATATTGACTAATTAGCTGGATCCAATATAAGAGATCCAATCCAGTGCAACTTACATGTAAACGTTATTTCTTTCTTTTTTGTGCTTATTGGTTAATAAATAATCTAAAGTATATTTATACCTGGGCTAATTTGTTTTTTTTTAACAATGTTTAGGTCAAAGCTAAAGCCTTTTTGATTCGGATTGATATCAGATATTGGCCGATATGTTCAGCCCAGGTACCATTATGGGATTGGATTGAGGAAAAAACTGAATCTGTGCATCTCTATCTATCATAGAAACCCTCTGAGATCCTAAGTTAGAGGTTCTAAATTAACAATATATGTAGAAGTTCAAAAGGTTTGCGAATGAACAGATCTGAGCCAATGCAAAATGCAGTTTTCAAATTATCATTTATTTTTTAAGAAAACAAAACTATGCAACCCTTCGCCCTGTATGAAAAAGTAACCAACTACTTAACCTAGTGAGTGGTTTTCCCACCCTTTGAGGGAACAATTGCCTTTAAGTCGAAATGAGTGCTTTTATTTAGCCCTTAACAATACCTCTCTATTGTATTTAAGTCAGGACTTTGACTAGCCCTCTGCAAAACCTTTATTTTTTTTTAATGGTGTAAAAAAACTTTCTTTTCAGGCAAACAGTTGAACTTGGGCTTCAATATATTGTAGTTAGTATATGTCCCTACATTTCTAAAGTTGTATCTTTGATCAAATTAATACTATTTTTACAGTTGAAGTTGTGGCTGTATCAGTTTCCATATTTACACAGCAACATGCTCTTTGTATTTTTTGTTATCAGTGGTTATTTCCTAGCTGGTAATAAAGATACTTCAGTTTTTTTAAGTGGTGTTGTGTGGATCACTACTGAGAGTGAGTGTTCAACCCTCTGTACATAGTAATCTGTAGGATTTGAGTCTGAAGAACCTTAAAAACACTTTTGGCAGACATACAGGCTCACGCCATGCAGGCTAATCATTGCTGAAGACAGCAACATCTTCTTATGAGTGAAAAGAAGGAGCATGGCGTGTAAAGATGGCGTGATGTTCTGTATTTTCAGTGATTTGTACAAAACCACAGTATCACCACAGGAAAATATTTATTAAAAAACTTTGAAAAAAATCTGCCTAAAATTAGGTTTGTCAGGGACGGTACCTTAGGAGGTGTATGAGTAATGTTTCTCCTTTAATCTCTTTCTGTGCAACCACTTGTTTAGCTCAGGCATATTTAGCGACAGCCTCTGTTTTAAATAGGAACCTTTTGTGTGGGCTTGAAGCATCATTGTACAGTAACACGGTATTTAAGTTTATGCATGAATCAACACTGTACCTTCTCAAAGAAAAGACAATGCCTGCTGTAAATAAAAGTAATTTTATCTGCCTGAAGCTCAGTTCCCATTAGCTATTAGTTTGACTGTGTTCATTAAATCCTTCTTACGGTTTTTTGGACTCAAATCGCCCAGACTGCTTTCTACTGAAAAGAAAAAACTGACAGTTCATAGGTACCAACCAACACTCCAGCCCCTAAAGCCAAGCTATCCTTGTTAGAGGTACTTTTGATTGGTTAACACTGGTAGAACTGTTTTTTTTTTTTTTTTTTGGTGACTTAAGGTAAAATAAACAGAAAAAAGTTCAAAGGAAATTATATTAAAAGGAAGATTTCCAGGGCATTCAATCCAGACTACTCAAACCTATCATGTTATTTATGCTCATTAACATATTTTGTAACTTTTTTCCTCTAACTTGGATAACTACTGAGTGACTTTATCTGATCCACCTTGCAGGTATATAACAGAGTTTGTAAACCTAGGCAATGTGTCAGCACTACGTACGTTCAGGGTTCTGAGGGCTTTGAAAACTATTTCAGTTATCCCAGGTAAGGCAGGTGTTTGTCTTCCGGGCGGGCGATCCACGGGGCTTCATTTTAGTCATGGTTGTGTTTCACTCCCTCTTCCTACTCCGTCCTCCTTTCACTGGCCAGTTAGGCGTTCAGCCTCTGTCCCCTCCTGGTCTTCGATGGTGGTGCTGGTGTCATGTTCTTGCACTATCATTCGTGTGTGTTGTTATCGTGTGTGTTGTGTATCATAGGGTTCTGTTCTGTGTCTCATCCTACCTTGTTACAGATATATAACAGAGTTTGTGGACCTTGGGAATGTCTCGGCGCTGAGAACGTTCAGGGTTCTCCGAGCATTGAAAACTATTTCTGTCATTCCAGGTGAGACTACCATTTAAACACTAAGGCTGATCCTACAATTACCTGCATAACGAGAGGATGTGTTTCAGGCTTATTTTTTTTTCTTATAGATTTCCATGCAATCAAAAATGGTTGTAAATCATTTTTGATTGGCAGAGCAGTCTGCAGGCAGTGTTTTTGGTGCACGTGCACGGAAAAAATTCTTTTCAGGACTCACATACAGTCATGGTGAAAAGAAAAAGTATGCTCTCTCTCAGTTATAAGAATTGAACTTAATTGGTTAATGATTGAAAAAGTAAATCTAAACTAAAACGTACAAAACCAAACAAAAGGATTATTTGCTGAAACTAAAATAATAATTATTCTCTCAAAAACCCAAGAAACATATATAAGAGTGAAAAACCCTTTAATTTAAAACAGACATGCTTTTTTCCCCCTCATGACTGTAAAAAAATAAAAATAAAAATGATCTCTGAAGTGGAACGGAAATGTCCAAACTACTGTTTTACAGTATTTTTCCAATGTTTTAGAAGATTATCTTTTAACAAGTAAAATCCGATTTTTTAGTTGAGAAAATGTATTAGGGGAAAAAAAAAAAGGAAAAATAATGTCCAAAGTTATTTTTTATTTTGCCATGCAAATTATTAACTCTTGTAAGACTGCAAGCATAAATATAATGCATGAAGCTTGGAAACATACTGTTCAAATTTGTTTTAGGTATCATTTATTTGATAAATGTTTATTCAGCTCATCCTGTTATAGATAAACCTATTTTTATGTAATGTTCCCTTTATCTAAGGTGATATATAAACAATATTACGCAATCCCTCCAAATATTTCAGACTTTTACTTTGTTCATATGCTTTTTTTTTTTCAACAAATGTTATCAACTAATTTTAAATCACAGAAACCAGACATTAAGGTACTGGGAATAATTACCTGTAATTGTAAAGTAACGTAAAACTAACATCGCACTCATTTATTGCAAACTGTGAAAAAGTATTCGCCCATCAGTAAGGGACTTCAGTAATTTCCTTAAAAATGTAGAAAGATGGTGTTTATTGCAGATTTTTTTATGTATGCTTTTTGTGATCCTGAGATATTTATACCAAAGATAAATTAAAATTAAAAAAATAATTTAAATTCAATTTTTTTTTTTCATTATCAAAACCAGGTCTCACCAACACTGACCCTTAGATATAAAAAAAACTAAGTTTTACCTCTCTGAAAATGTAAAGGATTGCAGGAAGCATCACACTACATCCTGATCTTAAGAAACCCATTAACAGAGGAGAATAAAGCCAAGGCCACAGTGAGATTCATAATCAAGAATGTTTTGGGAGGTTTTCATCTGTTTACCCCTAGCATTTAAGAAAAGAAAATCATCACACCAACAAGATTGGTGTGTTTTTGAAGTATGTATTCTAGCCTTTACCAAAAATCCTGATTGGCCATTAGTTTATGACCTTGTTGTACTGCAGGACAACAGCCTAAAGCTCACCATTCTTGGAATGGCCTATTGGAGGTCTAGAGTAAAAGCTAAATGTTATCCACTGGACAGTAAAAAAAAAAAAAAGCAAATGATTAGTTTAAAGGACAGCTGTTCCTACAAAGCCTAACACAAGTCATCAGGCTTCTTTTTCACATTGGGACCATTTTTACGCTAAGTATGAAAACAAAAATACAATCTGAAATAGTCTGCAAGGGGGTGGCAAAAACATTTTTAGAAAATATGCCGTCGTAGCATCCATTAATATTGGGTAAAGAGTATTGAGAATGAGAAAAAAAGGTGGGTAAAGGTCAGTCTTATTTAATTTAAATAGTTTCATCATCTTGCCTATAACTATTTTTACTTAGGTTGCCATTTTTATCAGCCTTGGCGTTTAAATGACCAGCATGCCTCCTCTCACTAACCCCAGCTGTAGAGCTGTTTAAAGCTAAATGTTTGTGCATGTCTATTCTTTACCTTCTCCATTTCTTGCTATCCAACTTAAACTTGCATCTGCTATTTGTACTTTTTGCTTTGCTACTTTGATGGTATGTGTTAAATGAGACAAATACTAACCAAATCTGGTTTGGGATTTTTCTGTTGATGCATTTAAAGGAAATGTAGAAATATTTCTTCTCCTGTTTAAAACATACTTTATTTTGCTTTTGCTTTACTCTTTATTTCTGATGATCCCTTTATGCTAATTCTAAAAATTATACTTTTCTCTGATGGAAACACAGCATATAGAGCTTTAGTGGAAATTGGGATGATTTTAGTTTTTTTTTCTATGAAGTATGGCAAACCAATATTTTGTGACTCCCATGTTTTGTGCTGCAGCCTTAATTTAGCTTTTTTAGCTGAACATTCTCAGTGGTGTTTGGCAGATTTTCTGTGAATTTTATTTAGAAGAAGCTTAGATTATTTAGTTTGAAATCAGAAAGCCTAGATCCTAACACTACATGTGTTCATGTACATACATCGTTAGCTTTTTTAAATGACCTGTTTTATCACAGGTTCTTTTCTAAAGTCACTCCAGGGATGACCGTAATCTAGCAACAACTCAACTAAAGACTCACTTTGATCAGTCTGGACTGTCATTTAGAGGTTTATTTAAATCATTCAGCAGATTTGATAGAGATTCGGTAGAATTTGTTGCAGTTTAGACATGTTGCTTTCCAAAATACAAGCCCTGATTTTAAAGATAAGCCAATAGTTTTCTATGAAGTTCAGGTCAGGGCCTTTCCAGACATATTTTATTAGTTTTTCTCTTACTCTCCTCTTTTCTCTCTGTGTTTTTGTGTGAATACGGACAATGGTGTCCATGTGTGAGGTGGCTGTTTTCATATGTGTGCATTTTTGCACATCTGTTTGTGCATGTATGTATGTGTGTGTGGGTGTTGTTTGTGTGTGAACAGGCCTGAAGACTATTGTGGGCGCCCTGATACAGTCCGTGAAAAAACTGTCGGATGTGATGATCCTGACCGTCTTCTGTCTCAGCGTCTTTGCGCTTATTGGATTGCAACTCTTCATGGGAAATCTCAGGCACAAGTGCGTCTTCTGGCCCATTAACATGACTGAGCAATTTCTAGCAAACGGCAGCCGAGGTTTTGACTGGGATGCATACATCATGAACAAATGTGAGTATAACTCTTACCACTTTGAAGCTTATGTAGGATTCCTACATAGTCTTGAAATTTCTGAAAATCTTTTTTTTTTTGGTCAATGCAGTAAAAAAAAGATGAAAAAGTATCATTAAAATTTACCAGCTTTTCCCCAAATTATTAATTTCCTATCACACAGCTGGTTGTTTCAAAAAGATGTATCATACTGTAATGCCGCATTTTTTCCATCCATCCATCCATCCATCCATCCATCCATCCATCCATCCATCCATCCATCCATCCATCCATCCATCCATCCATCCATCCATTCAGATATTTCCGAATTTAAAGCCTAACCCTCGCATGAATGTCTGATATCAGTCGGTTGGTCTTTACTATTTAAAATTTCACTAGGCATTTCTGAACACATACATATGAATTAAATACAGCATTTACATCATCTAGCTTCTATGAAATAAGGAATTAAACATTGTCTAATCATTAAACAGGTAGTGATCAGTAAAAGTGAGCATTCCGTTTTGTTCTTTTGCAGCAAATTTCTACTTCCTGCACAATGCCATGGATGCCCTGATATGTGGAAACAGTTCGGATTCAGGGTGAGTTTGGATTTAATGCTAGTTTATGATTTGTGTTCCTTCTCCATGTTTTTTAGGTGTAATCATGACAGATAAAATCTAGAAATGTTCCTATTTTCTGACTAGTCAAATTACGTCAAGAAGTTGAATGGCTAAGGAGCTAAATAAATGACAGTTTGCATTGACTTTAAATGTGAGATTTTGCATTTAAAATTCAAACACTGAAATTTTAAACATTGAAAATTCAACATTCAATCAACAGTCAATCAATGAAAATTCAAACACATAAATTTCAAAATTACCTCTAAAAACATATAGAAGTAAAAAGTAAAGCATTTTTTGCTGAAACATTTTTTCAGTGTCACTGCAGATTTCCTTCAGGTATGATGTGACTACAAGCTGGCACTAGTTTTGCGTTGGGGGGGGTCTAAACTCAAGAGTCCTTCAGGGTCCTTCACTGATTTTGCCCCATAGCTAACCTGACTTTCTGTTTTCATCTTGACATATAAGTCGTCACTTAGCTTTATCTGACACTAAACTTACTGGATTAACAATAACAAAATTCATAACCTTAATTGTGTTTGAACAGCAACACTTTATATGGAGCCATTAGTTTACCTCAGCTAGATGAGGAAGGGTACCGGAAAAGCCTTCAGTTTGGCCCCATTCATCCAAGGCCAAAGTGCTACCAGCTTGTTGTGACCTTGTAGCTGTAGGAATTGTGCAGTGACACTGAGAGCGTTTCTCATTAAAAAAGTGCTGCATATAAAAATGAGAGTATCATCATAAATTTTTACTTTTTTAAAGGGACGTTTGAAATTTCAGTTTATGAAATTACAAATGATTAAACTTTCAATGTTTTAAATTGCCAATTTTTGACATTTTAGTGTTTAGTTTTTCATTTATCAATGTCAAACCTCACATTTGATGTCAATCCCAGCTGTCACTGATTTAGCTCCATAAATGACCTAGAAATAAATGATTTGTAAAAAAAAAAAAAAAAAAAAAAAGAACTATTAAGTAAAATGATCTTCCATGATTAATCGTATATTCTACATTCATCTCATCTAGATATTGAAATTGTAAAATGATCAGTTTATTTAAAGCAGTTGTTTTGTACATTTTTTTTTATTTTTATTTTTATTTTCCTACAGAGGATGTCCTGAGGGTTATACATGCATGAAAGCTGGAAGAAACCCAAACTACGGTTACACCAGTTTTGACAGCTTTGGCTGGGCTTTCCTTACCCTCTTTCGTCTCATGACTCAGGACTTCTGGGAAAATCTCTACATGCTGGTAAGAAGAGGTTGTCAACAGTCATCACCATGTATATTTAAAGTTTTTCCGATTTCTGATTAACAGAATAGAATAGAATAATCTTAATACTTAATACAACTTAAGATGTAACATTATACAATAAAAAAGTATATTTGATAAAAGCTATGTGAGCAGGGTGGTTTATAAATTCCCAAAACAGCAGTCTATAATTACACTATAGACCATTATCAGTTCAAAATACAGACGCAAATATATTAGCAAATTTCTTAGCAATGCGACTCAATACTATAATTCATAAACTAGCAGCTACAGATCAAACAGTCTTTATACAAACCCAACAATTCTGCTCCAATATAAACGACTACTTGGAATATTTCAGCATTTAACTTTTAAGAAGGAGGAGGCAGTCATCATTACATTGGACGCAGAAAAAGCCTTTGATCTTGTTAAATGGAAATATTTATTTAGAACACTAAATCAGTTCTCATTCAAAAAGCCCTTTATTAATTGGCTTAAACTATTCTATGCATTACCACAAGCTGTTCTCTTAGTTAATGGTAAAGAATTTGAGACAGTTTTGCTGGAGGTAGGAACAAAACAAGGATGTCCCTTGTCTGCCCTACTTTTCACTTTATTAATTAAACCTCTTTGAGATGCTATAAGATCAATTGATCGGATCAAAGGCATACAAAAAAAATATTGTATACAAGATATCATTATATGCAGATGATGTACTCTTATTTTTGAAAACTCCAACCGAAACAATTCCACCTTTAATTAAAATTGTTAAAGAGTTCAGTACATTTTCTGGATGCAAAAAAATAACTGAAAACCTTTAGCTAATAGTTTAACCAATTATTACCCTTTAAAGTTACTAAAAGTGTATTTAAAAAATCTTGGTACATTCATTACAAGTAATCTTTCTAAATTAATTAAAGACAAATTTCTGCCTGTCACAGCAAAAGCCATAGCTGACCAATCTAACATTACATATCTTTGCTTGATTGTATTGCAATTATTAAAATGAATAGCCTCCCATGTTTACTTTATGCCTACACCTATACCTTCTACAACATTTAATAGCATACATGGTGCTATAGGTACATTTATATGGAATAAAAAGCGACCAAGGATGGCACTTCAAAACCTTCAATTGCCTATAAAAAAGGGTGGGCTTGCTCTTCCTAATTTCAAACTCTACCATTGGTCCTCTCAATTAAAATTTGTGTTAGAATAGTTTTGAAAAAGCCTGTTTTGCTTCCCTGATTTAGAAGGTATAGATATGGACAATTCTCATCTAGAGCACTTTCCACTTGTGTCTTGCCAACATATAAAAACTACTTTTGTAATAATCATATTGTTAAAATATATATACAAGACTCTAATTGTTTTATGTAGATATGTTACCTCTAAAATTATTCCTTCTCTGTTCTTATTTTTAACACCTTGGTTTCCATCAAACCTGTACCGATGTTGGATTTAGATAATGGCAATCACAAAAATAGAAGATCTACATTTGGATAATACATCTAAGACTTTCTTACAAATAAAATATGAATTTAATCTCTCATGGACAAAATGTTTCCATATATACAAGCTATTTAAATTCCATTCCATATTAAAGAGCATGTATAAAAAAAGAATGGTCTGGATGATCTGAATATAAAGGCAACTGCATTAAAAAGATAAATAATAACCTGCTTTAATGATCAGCTTATATAAAATATTAGAAGCTGCATACATATTAAACAAAGCTGTAAAAAAGAATTGAGGTCTCAACTGAATGACCAGACATGGATTTAATTATTGGATAGTGCAAAAAGAGACAGGAACCTAATTCCATTTAATGTGGTCATGCCCTGTTTAGCATCTTTCTGGTCTAAAGTTCTTGCTGAAATTGATAAAACCTATTTGTCTTATACTGCCGATGGACCCAAACAATTGTGTTTTTGGCACTGACAGTTTAAAAAAAAACAAAATGTGTTTTGAAATCTTCTTGGTTATCTTATCTTTATGTTTGGATAAAAAACCATCCTCCCATATTATCTATCTGGCGGGGAAAACTATTAGCACAGATGCCTTATGAAAGGCTATACAGTGTACTGGATGGAACTTTGGACAATTTTATAAAAGACTGGTCACCTCTCAGCTCGGATTTTGGTCTTGATTGGCACAGAACGTGCATAAGTATGGACTGAAAATGCACTATGACTATTCTCAAAGCTATTTGACTGATGGGGCTATTTTCTTTTTTTCATATTTTGTTTTTTTCTTGTTCCCATCTATTTGAAGGTATTTTTCTCTACTATTCTGTTTTCTGTTTTGCCCTGTCTTCTTAAGATACCATCTGTGAAAAATACTTGAAAATTAAAAAAAATATTTTGTGTTACCAACTATACCAACATTACATATAGTCACTTGCAAAAATGTAAACCTTTCTCAAGGTATTTCAAATTTTGTTTGGATGCAACTACAA